GCGCTGCCCAGACACACAGACCGGGATCGGGGCCCCGTCGCGCCGGGTGCTGCCCAGACACACAGACTGAGATCAGGCCCCTGTCAGGCTGGGCGCTGCTGAGGAGGAGAAACACCCCGTGTACGGGGGGCAGCCAGAGGCCCAGACGCCACGTACGCCCCATGCACGTTATTAGCTGTAGAAGGGTACCACCAAGGAGCCCCAGTCCTGGAGCAAGACCCCATTGTGTAGACGCCGTACGGCATGTCTTGGGTGTATTACAGTAGTGCCTGGAAGCCCCAGTCACGGGCCAGACCCCGCTGTGCTGGTCCCTCTGCGCAGAACTACTACAAGAGAACAGAAATGTTACAATCCGTGGCGCAGCCAGCCCAACGCAGCCACCAGCGAGGACTCTGGGTGACATGGGAATAACTCAATAACAACAAGGTGCTAGTTCTGTTATCGTATTTTTATGTCTGTGACCAGTAGTTTACCCATAGAGCATTTTAAAATCGATCCTTTCTAACGCTTGCCAGTATTTTACTTGCATGTATCATTTTTAACATTTATCATTTGAGTTGTATACATTTGATCTCTCTCATTTTTACATTTACCATTATTCTAGCTGGGTACGTCTGCGCTTCGGTGCTCAGCTTAACGGCTGCTATTATTTCAATATTTAACTTTGGCTGTCGAATTTTTACATTTCTCACCCCTCTGGTTATATACACTTGGTGTATAGTGCACTTTTTAATGTTTGTGTGCAACTCTCCCGTACTTCTATATTTACAGGGGTGAATTCCCCACGGGAATTAGAATCCCGCGTCCCCGGCACAGAAGCAGAGAGGCATGGCCACAACCGGAAAGAAAAGGCACAAGCTCCATCAAATGTCAAAGAGATCATTTTTATTTGCCACCAAATATAAAATAAAATAAAATAAAATAAAATAATTGGCCTTGGCTCCAACGAAAGCAGACGAGATCCATGCGTCATGTCAACCACAGGAAGAAAGAAAAAAAACACAAAGAAGAACCTCTGGGCTTTGCTTCATGAAAAGAACAGTCGATCCCGAAGTGTAAAAAAAGAAAGAGCGAAGAACCGAGTCTGGCAGCGGTTTCACAACTCGCCCGAAGTCTTTATGACATGGAAGAGCGTGACGTTGTACACGACCTGGTGGCCATTGTTCCACGTGTACAGCACCCTCTCCCGCGGGTTGTAGTCCAGCATGGAGATGTGGGAGTACTGGTTGTGGAATGGGATGTCCGTGTACTCGTAGCTAGAAGTGTTTGTGTAGTAGGCAAAATAGATCTTGGCCCCGGCGAGGTGGGAGTTTGTGACGTAGAGGGTGCCGCAGATCATGAAGGACTCGCCGGCGCTGCGCTTGGGGTAGCCGGTGTCCCAGCTGCGCAGGATCTCCAGCGTCTGCGGGTCCACCTTGCTCACCACGATGTTGCCGGCGTTCTGGTTGGTGGTGTAGACCGCCCACAGCCCGTTCTCATCCACCATGAAGTCGATGTCGGAGAAGCCCCCCCAGGAGTAGGGGAAGGTGTTGTTGTAGCCGGCGCTGTTCAGGCTGCGCTGCACCAGCACGCTCCGCGAGCGGAAGTGGTACTTCACCACGATGTTGCTCTGGTACTTGTTGTAGTAGAGGGAGCCGTTGAAGACCACGTGGCCCGTCCCGGCCCAGGGGTGCGGCAGCAGGTGCTGCACGAAGTTCTGGCCCGTGATGAAGTCGTTCAGGGTCCGGAACTCCAGCACCCGGCGCCCCTTGTAGTAACCGTCCATGTACCAGACCTGGGCGGGAGAGACCAGCCGCATGGTTAGAGGGGGGCAGCGGATCCCAGGGGAAATTCACCCCTGTGTGGGGCCCAGACCCCCCCGGCCCCCAACCCCGTGTGCAGCCTGGGCCCCTCACCCCGTGTGCAACCCAGCACAAGGCCTGGGCCCCCCCCAGCCCCTGCGCTGCAGCGGCATCAGCACGGCCGCCTCCCCCACGCCGCTCCCTCCCCGCACGGAGCAATGACTCCCCGGGCCCCCAGCCCTGCCTGCCCGGGCAGCTCCCCACGCCAGAGCAGGACTTGGAGGTTTCATGAATTCCTGGAGCTGCAGCCCAGGCTGAGTCCAGGCAGGAGCCTTTGGGGCCAGCCAAGCCGGGGCTAACCCAGCCGGCAGCCCCCCGGCCTGTCACACTGGCTTAAATGTTTAGAGAAGAATGAAAGGGGAGCGGGCGCGAGCGCCCCCCTGAGCCCCGCAACGCTGGGCCCCGCGCAGACCCGCAGTAAAGTCTATTGGCAAGGGCCCTGCCTGCTGAACGGCAGCTCCACGCATTAAACCTCGGGTGGAAACAGGAGGAGAGACGGGCAGAGACGCCAGCTCCAGCTTCTGGCCGAGCGAAGGGACCCCGGCTCCTCAGCAGGGCTTACTGCCGTCATCTCCACCCGTGCAACCCACGTGACAGGCAGCCACGGGTCTGTGAACACGCCCGAGTCTGGCCCCGAAACCAGGCGATTGCTTTTAACACAAACCCTTCGGGTTCTTTTCCGCTGCCTGGGTCTCGAGGTCTCCGGGGTCCATTCGGTAACCCCCAGGGCTGTTTTTTAATGGAAGCTGAAGGTCTCCGTCGCTTTCACAAGAAGCGCTGAGCACCCTGTGCTAGCACCTCGCCCAGGCCAGGCTCGACGCGGCCGGCAGCCCCTGATCTCGGCGGGACGAGTGTCACTAACAGGAGACGTGCAGAGCCCGGGCGAAGGGACTTGACAGAAGAGTCCCGCCCTGCCTGGATGAGGGGAGGCTGAATAAGCCATCCCTGCCCTGGCTGCTTGGCCCCAGCATGAGCAGTGAGGGGAAGGAGTTCTCTGCCCCTGGGCACCGGGCCCGGCACGCGCCCTGCAGCCCTTGGGCCAGTCCCAGCGCTTGCCGCTCCTCGGCAGAGAGACGTGGCCCTGCCCCACGCCGCTGCAAACAGGACGCTCTGCTGGGTGCGTCGCTGCCGCAGCGTTCGGGGATCTCCCAGCAATAGGGAGAGAGAAATCCAACGAGGACTGGGGAGCAGACGAGTCCCCTCAGGCTGGTCTGCGGGGGGCAGGGCTTGGTGCTGGCTGGCTTGCTGCCCTTGGACGTTATTCCATGCCTGTTTCAGGCCCCAGGGAATAGGGGAGGAAGGGGTGTAACACACGGCAGCCCCGGGGACTTTACGAAGGCTACGCCCATTTGTGCCAGCTGAGGATCGGGCCCCAGGGGCCCGACCCACCGCCCGGCCCCTTGCACAGCCATGTATGCCAGTGAAAGCGAGTGGCCCCCACAGCAGGGTACTGACTGGGGACACGAGGCCCAGGGCAGCAGAGAACGGAGCTCCGTGTGCTCGCGCCCCCAATCTTAGCACAGTTCTACATTGTGGCTGGAAATGCCACTGACCCCCAGCTGGCCCAGCCAGCCCTGCTCCCCGAGCGCCAGCGCCGGGCTGAGCCCGGAGTCCAGGCACAAAGGACGCCCAATCCCCACTGGATGCTGGGGAGAGTCACTGGGGCTTTCGGGCTGGTTTGGTCCTTTGAGACTCCCCCAGGCCTCTGCCCATCTGGTTTGAAAACGCAAACCCCACAATCAATAAAAGGCCGATTACTCTGCCGCATGTTAGAAATCCAATTTCTCCCAGCGGCCATCCATCAGCCCCTGCCACTCCCCCGAGCCATACATTAAAACGTGCCATTTGCAGTGACACGCAGCTCTCCCATCCATCCTGAGCCCTTGCTAATGAGCCAGGCAGCTCGAGCTGCCAGCACCGGCCACGCTCCCATGCAGATCCAGAGCTACAGTGGCCTGAACTCTGGCCTCCTGGAGGCCTCTCTCCCTTCATGAATTCAAATGGCCAGCAGCCCCGGCTACGTCTCCATTGGTTACCAGCCACGCCGGGTGTGCTTTCGCTCTGCTTCGGGTGGGTGCTGGGACAGCACTGCTGTGCGACGACACACCCACTAAGCAATTCTTGGGGTCACCCCTGTAGTATCGCCAGCATCGGGCCCTGCCGACGCAGAGCGAGAGACAGCCCCGCCGGTCTGAACAGGAAAAGGAGACAAGGGAATGATGCTTGTCCTGAGGCCCAGAGAAAAGCGACTTGCCCAAGTGCTGGGAAAGAATCCAAGAGTTCCCTGCTCTAAACCCAGACCCCTCTCCTCAAGTCAGGGCTGGAGCCCAGGAGTCCCGGCTTCCCTCCCTCCCTCCCTCCCTCGAT